TATGCGTAACAGAAAAGAAAAACTGAGTCCAGGCTAACGCTAAGTCTAGCTGCAAGCATGCCTATTTCACGGTGGGAAGGAATGGGATGCAGCAGCCTGCTTGGCTACATCTCCCAGTTTGCAGTGAAATTATAAGACTGATGTCAGCAGAACAAATATCCTGCTGTCCATTATTAATAGGGATTTAACATCTCACAGAACAAAGCTATATAGGATTTAAAGGCAGATAAACTACAGGTATTCCCTTGCCAGCAGTAGAGATGTACAAAACCAGTGTCAGAAAACACAGTGCGCTCACTTATTCACCAGCCTCTGCTCCTGTACATGTCAACATTGAGAATTATGGTTGCAGAATCTCTCAAAATGCTCACTGTTAGTAGGTGTGGGTGAATGTGGCCCACCAACAGTACTAAAAAGCATATTACTTTAAAAAAGAAAAACTGCAGGGAGCTGCAGGGAGGAGAGGGAGGATTTCCCTTCAATCTCCCTGGGTCAGACAAAAGAATAAATATCAGTTAGGAACAATAATTAAAAAAATACAATTAATAACTTTAAATGCCTCCAAATAGAACAAAGATACAAGATTTTGTTAGTTTTTAACTTTGTGAGAAATATAATGAACACATATTTAATTTCTAAACTTGAGACAAAACAAGTCACTGGTAAAAATTTCTAAAAGCCTGTTCTAAAATTAATTTTAATGCAAACTAATGATCACGTCTATTAGCATACAGTATCAGAGATGCATTTTGTGCTCAGTAACAGCTGCTATAGTAATTTTGGGGAAGATGTATTGCATTCTTCATGAATAACAAAGATAATGAATTCCTAAGAGTAAAATTCCTATCAGACTCAGGTGTGAAATGTCTCTCTACTAGCCACATTAATCTTTATATATATTCATGATATCCAATTTATCTCACCTACCAAACCAGACTACTCACCATTTCCAAATGTGCTGTCCAGTCTATATAGTTTATGATATTCCTTAAGAAATGAGCCCCTAAACTTCACTTGGGAAGCTACTTCGATCCTGTTCTACTGTTGTGTCCTGTTTCCACTTTCTATACTGCACTTTTTGCATTCCCTTCATAGAACTGTAAAACATCCCTCTTTAGCTGTCTTTTATGCCTATAGAATGGGTGTTCTTTCTTGCTGAATTATTACCAGATGCATTCAAACCTGTTCAGATATGAGCATTGCTTTTTCACTCTCGTAGGTCTTCTTGTCCTCCTTTTTTATCACTCCCTATAATTTCTCCTGGTTTTGTTGCTCTTCCATGAGCTCCATGCAATGTATCCATATTTTCTACTTAATCAGTATGCATAACTGACATATTTTTTTTTATAATCAGACCCCAAACCAAGTAAAACTACTCCAAAATTCATCAACAGACACACCTCAGAGGAGGACAAGACAGTCAAAGAGACTTTGATAGTGCTTCAATTTAAAGAGTGAAGGAAGCACATAGTCATGGGTAAAGCCTTTAAAAGTCCCAGATTTGCAAACAATTCCTAAATACACCTAAAAACTGAAGAAAATAGGCCCAGCTGCATGTCTCTGTGGATGAATCTACTCTTTTATAATTCTGTTGTTGTATACCCACTTCCAAGCATAAAACTGGATGAAAACTATATGAATCCCAGAATTTTAGCTTTGAGATTTTCAGTTTCATTTTATAAAAACCCCACACCCTGAAAGTTGTGAAACTTGAGGGCTTTGAATCCAAGGATCACAAAAACAGTACAAAAACATTTACATTCTCATCGCAAAATTGACTCTGTTTATGTGTATCCAGATACTTAATTTAAAACATCCAGGTTGCACAGTCCTCTTCTTGGACATCACACTCTGCCCATACATCCTGAATGGCAGTATCAGGTTTATTCACAGACAGATGAATTATATTATACCCTGAGTGGAATTCATCTCTTCAAAGACATTGCACTTCAAGCTCACAAAATTAATTTGTGACACCACAAGGGAAGGTGGCGAATAGAATTTAGTTGACTAAAGCTATTTGAGTACTGAATATGTTGTCATTTGTAAATGTAAATGTACATTCGTAAATGTACCGAATATCTTATTACAAACTAAATGTCTAGTTTGAAAATCAAATTACCACTGAAAAAGTAAAGACATTCAAACGGCTTTAAAATACCCTGCTGCCAATTAATAAAGTTTAGGAAAGAAAACTGAATTTTTAAACACTTGTTGAGTTCTCAACTTGATTACTTTCAGCATTTATTCCAAAATATACAATATTCAAATCAGTGTGAATCCCATTTTTTCACAGGATAACAACTTATCTTCATATAGGAGAAGAGGTTTTATTCTAAGTCATTAAATTATTTCATGTTAAGGTACTTCTCTGCTACTTACTTGGATTGAGCTACTTTTTTAAAATTTCTTGTTCAATGCCCAGCTTTTCTAAAGAGAAACATGTTTTAAATACTTATTACTGAATTTGGTTCTCAATATTCAAACTGAGCATATTTGGGAATGCTGTTGATTACTAAGCACACTTCACAGTAAAAGCCGGATCCTGGAGACCAGACATGGATTTAAGGGAAGAAAGGAAGTCTGACAGGTTGTTGAAACTTGTCTCCCACTTTTGTTTGCTTAACCCAGTATTACAACCTCTTTCTCAGTCCCCCAGACTTTCACCAAAAGCAGGGAGCTGAAGAGATGGTGTGACATTTGAAGAGCCAGGAAATGTGTGCTCATTCCCATCTGCAGCCTTATATTGCAGCCATTTCTGCCTTAGGACCCTGAACGGGAGGGTTCAGATCTTCTTTTTCACACCAGAGCTGTATTGACTCTCGCTTGTACAGATGAAGTTGACGTGAAGCTGCAGTGAGGTGGCGGATACTCCATGCAATTATCAGGATCCATCACAATTAGCTTACTGGCTATATATACCCATTAGCAAATACTGATGTGTAATATGAATGATGAATGTTGAATGAATGAGTGAAATATGAATAAACAAACAAGAGAAACAGGTGGTGCCAAAAGCCCGACTTCCCCAGCTATACCTGTTTCAGTGGGATGAGTTCAGCCTATGTCTAGCCTGTCCTTATGGATTGAAAACCCATTACTGTTTGGAGGCACTAGGTGTGCTTCCAGATCACATCTTCCAGTTAATTTTTGTCTGAACGGAATCTAGTTTTCATGCTCTACAAAACAAGACCAAACACAGTAAAGGGATATGATATTTACTACAGAAGCATATGTCTAATTTGAACTGAAATCCTAATGTAGATATATTCACTAAAGAGTCACGGTTGGATGTTCCACTCAGCAATAATAGCAGGAGAGCAGCTTTTATGTCTATGAGTTTCAATTTTTTTTTAATTTTTTTTTTTTAATTGGCTCAGATGGTAACAGTTCTTAGTATAGCATTATTCAGTTCAAGAGAACATTTGGCTAAAATCACAACAGACAGGCACTTGCAGGTCCCCAAGCTGCTTAAAGACAACAATCATACTTTTTCATAGTCCTGTGAAAGGATCACAGGCATCGAATTCAGGATAGTGTTGTTAGTCCTACTGGGGTTATCTGCAGGCTATTTGAGCTCCTTGCTTCTGAGGACCTAATTTATGTGTTTCAAGTGCAGGACACTATCCCTGTTTTTCCCCCACCTTACTTTCCTCTGCCCGAGGTATCTTCCTCATGTGCTCATGCTGTTCAGTCTCAGCAGTTGCTGAACTTTCTGTTCTGATTCAGGTGCAGCTCCAGGCCACAAGTGTGGGCAACACAAAAGATTGTTGATGCCCCATCACTACTCCAGTGAGCAAGCTACATTTCTTTAGCATAAATGTCAAAAATAGCCTCAAGTATCTGACTTTTACAGAATGCTAAACGTCATATCTAGTATTGTGCTGGTTTTTAGGGAAAGTTGGGAGCTATGGGAAAATGGAGGAAGATCTTCACTTATAATCCCTGTACACAGTAGGAGAGTAGAATGAATTTTATTTGTAACTTAGTTATAAATGATGCCCTGGGCAGTCACTTGAAGAGAAGAACTCTTTAATTCATTTGCTGTACAGATCTACATGTGTAGGACTATACCTCAGTGATAAGCAATGATAGAGCAAATGTCCATTAAAATGAAGATTCGGGAGTGAGTAAAAAAACTCATACCTAATCAAACTGAAAAAAATTAGGAGAAACTTGCCAATTTGTTTGCATGATGTGTCTCTATTTCAGAGTCTCCCTTGTTCAGGTAGTTTTGTGCTAATGTGATTACAAAAAGCTGCCATAAAATCTGTTTGGAAAGGGTTGCTAAAAGCATCGCATCAGTTCTTTTCTTATATCTCTCTCATAAAACAGTATGGGGATTCCTGGGGACGTCTAAAACTTGAGAGTTCCTGACTGCAAGGTTTGGTTCCCTTCTGCATAGTAAATTACAGAATTCCTCAGATTACTATCAGCTGCACCAGGGATTCAAACAATGCCAAGAAACTAAAAACAGAACCCCTAAGATGTGATTACATATTTCAAAAGAACATAAACATCATTTCATAACCAGAAAGATGACCCACTGTCTGGTGTGACTATGGGTCAACACTGTGTTGTTTCTCTAGCCAGGCTAGTGTCACTAATAGCAGCATTCATTACTCCAGATTTTGGCTAAAATTGAGAAGTTAATTTTCAAACTTGTGTTAAATTCTATTGCTCATGCAGGTATACAAGAGGTTACATGTAATGATGATCACAGTCCTTACTGGTTTTGAAATATATTAGTTTATACATATATTAACCTCAAAATAAATTCATTAGGTTTCTGAAGGTTTATTCTCCATGCCTTATTCATTGCAGTAACAAGCTGTAATATGTCGCATGCAATACATGCCTGTATATTCAACAGTCACTTTATGATTACTATTATGTAAAATTGTATTTTTCCTAAAGATAGGTAAGCAGAACAGGGAAGCTTTTCCTCTGAAACTTTTAGCTATACAAAAAGAAAACAGTAGTTCAACATTATTAAATACCTTCTTTATCATCATGACGTATGATTGCATCCTGTGTCATATCAGCAAGATTAAAATGAACTCGATGGTTCTTTCCATGTTTCAGTTTTTTCACGTAGCCCTCCCGCTTCTGGAAAGCTTTTTCTCTTTCGTAATATGCCTTTATTTGGTCACAGCGCATCCGCTTCACCAGCCGCTGCCGCTGGCCAAGAGGGAGGGACTCCAGCAAGCACTGCTCAATTTCCATCTCATGAGACCGAAAAACATTACATAGCTGGAAACAGCCTGTAAGAAATTAGAGACAAACACATTCAGATCATGCAACAGCGTATTTTCAAATGTGCCTTGAAACATCCACAAATTTTCTTGCTGTCCTTTCTAGTCATGTGTAAGTCTATCATTTGAGCTCCTCCTACTTGACCAATGCTGACTATAGAGAGTGTATATCATTATCATTTACTTTTTGGAAACAACAGATAAGTAATTCTGTTAGAACACTGATGAATTTTTTAAAAGGTAACTCAGTTCATGCAATCAAATGTGAATAGAAAGAAGTCTAAAAGTACAACTGTGAGATGGACAAAATATCTAAATACTTCAATATAATTCAAGTGGCTCGCCTTTGCTTACAAACAAGAGATTATTATGTAGAGTAATGCCAGTCTGATGCCCATGCTTCCTTTTCATTCATTTTCATTTTGCTTTAGGTTAGCAAGTTCCTGTTACTCAGTGAGAGGAAAAATCATCGTATCATAATTTTAACGAGTTCATTAGCATACAGTGGGTACTCAGGCGATCTATTAAAAACATCAAAGTCATTTCAGATTCCTAACTACGTGTATGTGTGACTTTTTTTTTTTTTTGCACTGTATAAAGCTAACCAAATGGAATCTTCTAATGAAGCTGTCAGATACTGAGATCTTCTTGTGGAAACCGACCACAAATGTGTCTTTGATTCAGTTAATCCTAACAATCATAGCATTACCCTTAAGTCAGATTGCTCTTTTGTTATTACCACTAAATATGGTATTTTTACTGACATTGCAGTAACAGTGATGTTTTTTTCCAGTATGTTCTCTTTCCCACTGAGAGTGAAGACTGTAAGAGACTACTTGCTGCTAGTTGCTTTTCAGGGGACAGTTCCATTACAAAAAGAGACTACCGGATAATTTTATTGCCTAAGTCCTTGGATGTGAATCCACATCTTCCAAATCAATGACGTACCCGCTACCCTACTGAAAGACTATTTGATGTAGTGGCTGGACACCACTCAATTATTTCTGATTATCATGTTCTGCTTTATAAACAAGCTTAAATTTTCTTGATATGGAAGCTAGATGCCCAAATTTGTAATTTCTAAGGACTGTCAGCAGCTCAGATGAAAGTTTTTCTCTCCCTAGTTTTACAGAAGAGCTCTTGAAGGGGATGTAGACTCAAGTAAGCTTGGGCATTTAAGAAATACCAAAATTAAGCATTTCTGTGCAACTTTAATTAGGCCTGCTTTTGCCTACCCATTTTGCTAAATCTGTAATTACATCATCAAAAGACCTCTACCTCATTCAGGGCACTAGCTGAGTAGTGCTGACTAAATGACTTTGTTTTCTCCTTGTTGCTTGACATACGTCTAATCTACTGAATACCATTCAAACCCTGCTTTGAAGGCATAATTAATAATTTCCTGACAGTTTTTGGTAAATCTCACATCATCATAGCACATAACTGCTTCACAAATATTTATTTATTTTCATTTTAAAAAAGAAGGGTAAAGGGGCATTCTTATCTACATTCTCTACTGAGGAACTGTAAAACAATGATTTTCTTTTTAAATCATTAACTTTGCATCTCCAAACCACTAATTTCTATATCCTTTTCTCAAAGTGTTTTGCTTTGCTTTAAAGGCATAGTAATCTATAAACTATTATGTATCATAACACCATAATAAAATACTATCAAAGTGATAGCCCTAGGGCTGCATGTCAATCACTCTATAAACTATATTATATTATATACTTATTTGCTATATTATTATATATTATATGTTATATATTATGTTATATATTATATGTTATATAATATATTATATATATAACATGAATACAAACAGTTCATGACTTAAAATGAACAAAACAATTCAATTCAACAAAAGACTCTTGGATTTTCCTGTAATATTTTATGCTTTTCTATCTGCCTTTCAGTCTCTTGTTTCCAAAACCCTCAAAAAGTAGTTTGTATAACTCGGTAGAAAACATATCACTAAGTCCTTTAGAAGCAGTAGTTTAATGGACCTACACATTCCCTGCTTGGTGAATTTTGGACCACACTGTAGAGACAAAAGAGCCAACAACACACAAACGTTTGATGTGGTTCACTCAAGCATACAAAAGTACTGGGCAACCCACATGACTCGACTGACAACCTTTAAAAGTGAAAGCAAGATCAGCAGCTGACAGAATCCCCTTCACTTACAGGAGGAATTGCCTTCCAGGAGTTGTGCACGCAACGCCCGCAGGCTACTTTGAAAACTCTTCTCTGTATCTTTCATTTCGATGAAATGATGCCATTGGTAAAACCCATAACGATTTTTTCCGCCTTTTATACTTAGGCACTTAAATATTGACCACTTTTATACACTCTCTCTCTCTCTGCTGTATATACATTTGTCTACATATAAGGCATAAGTATATCAACGGCCTCCTGGCAGAAACAAAAATATTGTAACAGAGAAGGAGATCTAGTAAAAATGAGGTATAGCCACACCTCCTGGGTTGATTAGTTGAAAAAAAATGCACATCCTTAAAAAAAAAAAAAAAAGATGTTATTGCCTAAATGTCCTGGTTACCGACATCACATACATCATGTCGTTGACATTTTCAATTATTCCATGACATTAATAAAATGAAACACTATCTGGTACACACTGAGACGTCTTACCTAACACTTTTCATGCATGCGAGTACTCACTTCAAATTGTGTAACTATGGTGAATCCTGAACATACAGTTAAAAAAATTTAAAAGTCCAGAGGATTGACTGTGCTCTCACACCTAACCAATGCTGGAACACTCCTGCTGACACCCACATACCCCAGCAGAATAACACCCTAAACATTTACAGGAGCAAGATGTAATGAAAACTGCTGGTTTGGAGGCCTCGTGGCATCTGAAGCTCTGCCTAGATTGAGTTTCGTGGTGCTGTTGGGGAACTTCAGCAAGTGCTTCAGGTGGAAGTGGGCTGTATGTATCTCCTGTGTTATCATACCCAAGCTACATAGACGGTACGTGTTCATCACTCTCTCGAGATACGCTGCTGAGATATTTCACTAGTTAAGTCCAACATCATGGTTTGCACAATAAATGGCCGGCAACTTCACCGAGGATAAGTTACGGTGATGCTGAGACACTATGTCTGTACCTGCAAACTCCTGCGGAGTACAGCACTCCCTGATGGCACCAAGAAACGACGCAGGGGACACCATAAGCCAGGAACTGTGGTCTGGGACATTTTTTGGGGGTGGGTGGGCAAGTGAGAGTAGGGGCAAATATGATTATGGGTGTATCATTCTGCATAGTTTTAATCTAATATGCTGGGCTGTTGGGGGAGGTGAATTTTGCTTGACTCCAGGGAGTGGGGTGCCTGATTTAGAATCACAGAATCATTAAGGTTGGGAAAGACCTTTAAGATCACCAGGTCTACCCATTAACCCAGCACCACCATGCCCACTAAACCATGTCCCAAACTGCCACGTCTACGCATTTTTCCGGGGTGGGTCCCCCCCCCCCCCCCCCGGCCAGCCTGTTCCAATGCTTGACTACTCTCTCAGTAATGAAATTTTTCCTGATATCCAGTCTAAACTGCCCCTGGCACAACTTGAGGC